TGGACCTGACTCTGATGCTAACCTTAAGTGGCTGGGGAACATGAAATGGCTGTCAAATTCACCATTCAGTGCAATTAATAGGTGGGCAAAACTGCCTGGGCCCTGTTACTTTTGGGCAGTCGGGTCTAACACCAGGCCTGCAGCAGCTGCCCCAAGTTGATGATGGCCTGGGATTGGGGTAGAAGTGGTGCCTGGAGGACCAACTGGGGACTTGCCCTAGGATGATGCCCTGAGATACACTTTGCAATACCCCAGAAGAAGCTGTTACTGCCTCTTGTCCTGGATCAGGTTTTTTGGGCTTTGCCTTGGGACATGGGAAATGGATGGCTGTATGCATGCACTTTGTCTCAGGAAAATACAGTTTCTCTTAGGACAAATACAGTTTCTGTTCATGGACTTAGATGGTGAGATACAATAAACAAGTTCTGACTTCAGAGCTTTCAGAGCTCAAAGCAAAGTGGAATGAAAGTGTATTTGCTTAGCTACAAATTCATTGGTTTCCTCACATTCACACAGTATTCGCAGTCACCCTAGAGATTCTTCCCCAGGGGCTCAAGGACATAAAGGAAAGAAGCACATGTCAGAGTCATGAAAGGGCCCGTCCTTATTCCAAAGGTAAGTGTCAGGTACTTCAGCTTACGAGATACTGGGCTGTTCAGAGAACGTATCTGAGAGAGCTTCCCGTGGGTCCTCCACATTTGTCTTTGTGACCTTGTGTTAAGATACTCGGCTTTTAACTGCCTTGCAATTAAATCTGATTTGAAAAGAGAAATCTCAGTTAACATCCACTGATTCCATCTTTCTACTGGTCTATACAACTATCTGTGTAACAAATTTCATTTCTCGCTGTCATCTTCCTTTCTGTTGTCTCTGTTCACCCACCCCCTCTTATCACTTTCTGTCATTCGCTTTTTGTTTTCTTTAGCCCTGTACCGCCCTCCCTGCCTTTCTTGTCATCTATCCCTGGCCATACCTCTCTTGTCTCTGTCTTTTTATCTTGATTTTTATCTTGGGGTGTGTGTCAGTATTCTTCTCTTTGATTCTTTGTATTTCTAGATGTGCATTTCTTTCTGTCATTCTGTCTTTTCATCTATTTCTCTTCATTTCTCTCCTCCTTTTTTCTTCTAACTGGATACATCACTTCTCTCTTGGCTTTCTTTGATAATAACAAACATAAAATAGGTATAACAATTCAAAAGTAAGTTTCTATGGATATTCTCATCACCTATATCATTTTCTTTTCCTTTAAATTCTGCCAAG